TGAGGAGTCGGACGGTGGAGCTGCTGCTGGAGCTGGGGACCCGGCCGGTGGAGCTGCTGCTGGTGCTGTGGACCCGGACGCTGGAGCTCCTACTGGTGCTGAGGACCCGGCCGCTGGAGTCCCTTCTGCTTCTGGAGACGCTGCGCGGCCGCGACCGTACTTCGTACCGCTCCTTCAGCAGGTTCTTGGGCAGGCTCCTCCTCCTTGTCCTCCTCCCTCCGTAGAGTGTCCTCCGCCTGTCCAGCCGCAGTCACAGTTACCGCCTGCCTCGCCTCTCCCTGCTCCCTCTCCTTACGCTGGTCCCACAGGAGGTCTTACAGAGCGTCGTGAGCCTGAGTCTCGTCCTGCGTCGCCTGTTCGTCCTGCTCGCACTGGTAGTCGTGTCCGTCGTGAGCGTCCTCCTCCTGTCCCAGGCACTCACTACATGACTCTGCGTCCCTCTACTGCTCCTCGGCGTGTCCCTCTACCGTCTCCTCCTGCGTCCTCTTTGCCTGCCGTTCCGGACCCTGAGTCTGACCGGTATCGCGCTGAGCACCCTACAGTCACGCGTCTCCTCGCTACTGTTGTCACTGACCCTACCTTTGAGTCCTCGGCTGCGTCTGCTCTGGTCGCTGAGTTGGTTGACTTTGCTGCTGCCTGTCGTCTAGACTACGCTGCTAGCCTTGTTGCTGAGTCAGAGTCTGCGTCTGTCTGTCCTCCGTCCGTCGGGGGTGAGTGTGCTCTTGGCACGGACGTCCTTGAGGACAGGCAGGAGGACTTTGACTCTCTTGCGGCTGCTGTACCTCATCTCGTGGCCTGGTTGCTTGCCCCTGAGGGAGACCCGGATGCACTAGACATCCCCACTCCGCGCACTTACGCAGAGGCGATCTCGGGTCCCTACTCCTCTCAGTGGCAGACAGCCATGGACGCAGAGATGGCATCCTGGAAGTCCACAGGCACCTACGTCGACGAGGTTCCCCCTCCTGGGGCGAACATCGTCGATGGCATGTGGATTTTCAGGGTGAAGCGGCCGCCAGGTTCTCCGCCTGTCTTCAAGGCTCGTTACGTTGCTAGAGGCTTCAGTCAGCGTCAGGGGGTCGACTTCTTCCAGACCTTCTCCCCCACCCCGAAGATGACCACTCTTCGGGTTCTGCTGCACGTTGCTGCTCAGCGTGACTACGAGCTTCACTCTCTTGACTTCAGCACAGCGTTCCTGCAGGGCAGCCTGCACGAGGAGATCTGGCTGCGCCGCCCACCTGGCTTTACTGGGTCGTTTCCCCCTGGTACCCAGTGGAGTCTCCGCCGGCCAGTCTACGGTCTCCGCCAGGCGCCACGTGAGTGGCACGACACACTGAGGACTACTCTTGCGGCTCTTGGGTTCGCGCCGTCTACTGCTGACCCGTCGCTGTTTCTGCGCACAGACACGTCGCTGCCGCCGTTCTACATTCTCGTGTACGTCGACGACTTGGTCTTTGCTACTGCTGACACTGAGGCACTCGCTCGTGTGAAGTCGGAGCTGCAGAAGAGACACACCTGCACTGACCTGGGTGAACTGCGTAGCTACCTTGGCTTGCAGATCACCCGGGACAGAGCTCGCCGCACCATCACCCTGACTCAGTCACACATGGTGCAGCAGGTCCTTCAGCGCTTCGGCTTCCAGTTCTCCTCACCACATGCCACACCTCTGGCTACCAGCCACTCGCTCTCAGCTCCACCTTCGGACGAGTCCGTAGAGCCGAGTGGCCCGTACCCAGAGCTTGTAGGCTGCCTCATGTACCTGATGACTTGCACGCGACCTGACCTCGCGTACCCTCTTAGCATCCTTGCTCGTTACGTTGCGCCTGGGAGACACAGGCGAGAGCACTGGGAGGCTGCTAAGAGGGTGCTGCGTTACCTGTGCAGTACATCAGGCATGGGGCTGGTGCTTGGAGGACGCGACAGAGTTGTCCTCACTGGTCACTCGGACGCCTCTTGGGTGGACGACCTGGCTACGCAGCGGTCGTCACAGGGTTACACCTTCAGCCTTGGCTCAGGTTCTGTCTCGTGGCGGTCCACCCGCTCTTCCTCTGTTCTCGGCTCTAGTTGTGAGGCTGAGATCTACGCCACAGCCATGGCTGCACAGGAGTTACGCTGGCTCACCTACCTGCTGACTGACTTGGGAGAGCGGCCTAGTTCTCCTCCAGTTCTGTACGGTGACAACAAGGCGGCTCTTGCCTTGTGTCAGGAGCACAGACTGGAGCACAGGACGAAGCACATTGCTCTTCGCTACTTTCTTGCTCGAGAGCTTCAGCAGCGCGGTCAGCTTCGGCTTGTGTACGTGGACTCGAAGGCCAACACTGCTGATATCTTCACCAAGGCGCTCCCGCCTAGTGATCATCAGCGGCACTGTACTTCTTTAGGCCTTGTGTCCACGTTTCCTCACTTGCTCACTGCTTGACATTCTTTGTACTGTACTTTATATATATCTTGTTGCTTGCTTGCTAGGTTTTGATCACTGTGTTGCTTGTCTTGTACTATATCTAGCACTGCATGTGAACTGGCCTTGTGCCCTTTGCTCTCCCCCACTTTGCCTATGGGGGTGTGTTAAACTGTATTATGCTTGTAGGCTGTAGTGGGGTAGCCAATATGGGGTACAACCCCAACTAGGGTTTCATATTTGTACCCAAACTTCTGTTAGTTCATTCATTCTTGCCTAGTTATTCTGAGAGTATATGCCACGTTTCTCCGTGGCACGGTGGTGGTTACCGAGTTCTTCGCCAACTTGTCCGTTGAGAAGTGCGACGCTGGGTCGCTTGAGGCGGTCCTGTTGACACACCTTGCTGCTTGCGGCCTCGAACTGACAAGGATCAGCGGCATGACCACGGACGGCGCGAGCGTGATGACGGGCAGTCAGACAGGCTTGGTGGCGAGGTTACGAACGCGGGTGCCGTGCCACTGCGTGGCCCACATGTAGTGTGTTGTTTTTTTCAATGTTATATATCTGGCACTTGATGTCCTCGTACTAATCCTACTTGTGTTATAACTGCAGGGAGGCTCTGGCTGCTAAGGATGCTGCTGAAGAATTTCCCGAGTTCAATGTCGTCGACAAAGTCGTCCGGTCATTCGCGGACATCCTCGGCCGCAGCATAGTGCAGCATGCGCGATTCAAGAAGCTGCAGGAGGTGATTACAGAGACCAACCTGGAGATGCAAGGCATCAAAGACGTCCGCTGGCTGTCGCGCGGGGACGCCATCCAGCGCTTTGCAGACGTCCTGCCTGCTGCCGTTGTCCTGCTGCATGAGTACGACAAGACAACTTACACGCTCGTCACCAGTCTGAAGTTTCAGTTTTTCCTTTTCTTTCTGGTTGACGTGCTTCAGGAGTTGAACAGCCTGAATCTCAAGTTCCAGCGACGGCAGGTAAGGACGTGTAGTTACACCTTCCATCCTTTCTTTCCATGTGCCGAGACTAATTCTGTTACTGTTTAATATGTGCAGCTTGATGCGACGCAGGTTCGGCCGATGGTGCAGCACACCACGCTGATCTTGACAAGTCGCTATGTGGAGTACGGCTCCACCTTCGGCGACAACAGTGGTCGTCTTGCGACGTTCCTAAAGAACCACGGGAGCACTGAGCACCGCGAAGTAAAGGTCGAAAGCATCGACAGCGCTGGGGAGCCCGTGACTCACACCTACGTGCTGCACGAGGACCTCATGGGGAAGGAGAAGTTTGGGGGCGACCTGGCGTCGTGCGTGGAGACAGCATCCAAGTTCGCAGGGAGGACGGTGTTCTTCATTGAAGATCAATGAAGATTCTTAAGTCGTTGGACGGCGCCCGTCTGTTTCGGGAGGGACGGTACCCTCATTCGCGCGCTAAGAGAGCGCGTCGATTTCCCGAATGGCTCGAGTCGCTGCGCAACCTGTTCAAGAAGAAGCCCAACCATCCAGACACCCTCCCCGGTAAGCGGTTTGTTTTTAAACCTGCGTTCTTCCTTGTTCCATCATTGCTGCCATGCCTTGAATTGACTCTCTGTTGTGATATCCTATCCCACACCCTACCCTACCCCCTCACCATCAGGTGTGGACTGGGGCAAAGCCGCCAAGGAGCTCACCAGCTTCACGACCATCCTCTCCCATCACCACGAAGACCTGTCCTTCCACGACAGCCTGTCGCAGATGCTCTCAACGCCGGAATGGGAGTCAGCCTATCCGAACCTCGGCCGCCTGAGGATAGCTGTTGCTGTGCTACCACTCAGCACTGTTGAGTGTGAGCGCGGCTTCAGCCGCCAGAACATCATCAAAAGCTGGGTGCGGGGCAGCTTGTGCGACAAGACACTTGGCGACCTTATGACGGTGTCTCTTCTGGATTACGAGCTGAACACAGAGGAGCTTGCGGATAGGTGGTATGCCAGCAAGAAGAGGCGGTTGGCTTGAGAGGTGGTCATGGCTGAAGGCTCACGCCCGGTGAAGCGACGGCGGTCCCATCACCTGAAGAAGCGCGCTGCAGCATCAGCAGCAGCAGAAGCAGCTACACGCGCACGGAAAGAGGCAGAAGAGGCTGCATCGAAGGAGAGAGAGGGGGCTGCAGAAGAAGCTGCGTGGGAGGTGCCTACCTGGAGGAAGGGCAAATCCAGAGCCACAATTGTTGAAACCTCTGAGAGTGGCAGTGGTAGTGATGACAGTGGCAGTGGTAGTGATGATGACAGTGACAGCAGTAGTGCAAGTGATTCTTCTTAGGAAAGGGTGTCGTAAGATTTCTAGTGTAGGAACTACGTAGGCTAGGAAATCTGCTTGTATAAGATTAACTGTCTAAATCCGTCTGACCTCCTGACAAGTTATTTTTGTTCGTCTGAAACGTAAGACAAGGCTACCACTCTCGTCTGACCATCAGACAAAGGCTCAGGACCCGGTCTTACCGTCAGACAGGCCCTGGCACTAAAGTTAGCCCTGCACACACGTCAACGTGAACACTAAAGAGCCTATCGTTCCTAAAATTTCCTAGCATCACTCCCCATCAAGACCACCATTCCCCCCTCATCACCATTATCTTCCCCACGGGAATTTCACACCTCCGCCTCGTTGTCCCCCTGCCTCCCCCCCTGCCTGCTGCCCTGCCACCGGCCGTGCCGCAGCAGCAGCACCGGCTGCCGCCACATGCCGATTCACCAAGGCTGGCACGGGCGCCTTGAGAGGGTAAGGCACCTGCAGGGGCGGTGGCATGTGCATGCTCCAACTCCCTGCCTGCACCTCCCTCGACTCCTCATGTGCTCCTTTAAGCTCTGTCTCTGCATCCTCTGCCTCTCTGCCCTCCCTGCCTTGCTCATGCGCTGCTGCACCTTCCCGTTGCCCCGCTGCCACCCCTGCCTCTGCACCGTTGCTGTGGTTGCTGCTGTCGTTACCACTGCTACTGCTGCTACCACTGGTGTTGCTGTCAGCGTGTGCGGGCGGCAGGCCCTTAAAGAGCATCGTGGTGGTCTGCAGGCGGTCGAACCGAAACCCTGACTGCCACACAAACAAGCTGGAGTAGAACAAAACAAAACAGAACAGAACAAAGCAAAGCAAATCAAAACAGAACAAATCAAAACAGAGAAGAACAGAGCGGATCAAAACAAAACAAACAAAAAAAGAGGAGGGAAATGGAGTTTTTAAGTAATGTGAATTGTACACTCCTGAAAGATACACCCGTGCAAGGACAAAATCGAGCACATGAACAAACGACTGATGAGACGTCCCAAACTCTGCCTGGAACACTTCTGCTGAAACAACGTGGCAACACATGCGATGCTGCCGGTGATACAGGAGGGAGATGGTGCAGGCGAGGCATGCAGGCGATGGTGGGAAAGGGGAGGAGTGGAGGGTGCCCGGTGCTGTGCATGTCCTGTGGGATCCGTGGGTTCCCTCCCCATCAGTGCCACGGAATGCACAATCCGGGGGTTCCCTGTTGGTGCCATCACGGCACGAGGCAGTGGCTGCAGCTGTAGCAGTGGTGGCAAGTTGTAGCAGTGGTGGCAGGTTTGGCAGGTGTAGCAGCTATAGCAGCAGTAGCAGGTGCAGCAGGCAACTCACCGCTGGTTGGGCCAGACAACAGCAGAGATGTCCCCAATGCCCCGTGATAGCAGCTCCCTGGGGGTGAGAATGGTGGGGATGGAGGAAGAGAGGATAGACACAGGCGAAAGAGAAGCAGAGGAAGGAAGTAAGAGAAGAGCGTCGAAACAGAGGATACTAGAAGCAGAATAATTTTCAAACAGAGAAGATAGAAACAAGGAGAATATACAGAGGATTTTTTGTGATCAGGACACAGACACAGTTCACAGCCTTGCAAGTCAAACCCAAGTCTTAAGTTTCACCTCAGAATCTCAGCCTGATAGCTCACTCGAGCACATCAGCCTGCGAATTCACCTGAAACCATTGGCCTGTAAATTCACCTGAGAACATTGGCCTGAGAATTCACCTGATGATTCTCTGCAGCACCCTCGTGCCGAGGCCACGGCCCCTGTAAACCGGTGCCACCTGGCACGGTGGAGAGCGGTGGGGTGGAGTGTCAGGGGATGGGATGGGACACGAAGCAGAGAAAGAAAAAAGAGGAGCATATCTGAATAATATGATATCCTGTGCTGTGCTGAACATGTGATAACATGCATGATGTGGCATTCCATGGCATCAGACGACTTTTGAGGCGCCTCAAATCAAAAGCCATGTGATAGCATGCCATGGCATCCCATCCCATGGCATCAGACGGTATGCAGTTCCTGAAGGGGAGCACACATTCGACGATGCTGTGCATGTATGGCATTAGATAAACCACGCCCACAAGCACTAGATGAAACGCACCCAGCAGATGAAACGCACACAGGAGATGAAACTCACCCAGGAGATGAAACGCACCCAGCAGATGAAACGCACCCGGGAGACAAAACACACCCAGGAGATGAAACGCACCCAGGAGATGAAACGCACCCAGGAGATGAAACGCACCCAGGAGATGAAACGCACCCAGGAGATGAAACACACCCAGGAGATGAAACGCACCCAGGAGATGAAACGCACCCAGGAGATGAAACGCACCCAGGAGATGAAACGCACCGCGATGTCATGCACGGCGGCAGTGAGCGTGCCATCGGAGTACGCCCGCCCGAACGCCACGAGCCTCTTGCCCTCCACACTCCTCCTCGCCTCCTCCACCTGCCTCGCCCTCCTCCTCCTCGCCCACTTGCTCATCCCCCTCCTCTTGCTCGCCTTGCCTCCACTGCTCGTACCCTTGCTTGACGTGTCGCCAATACTTGTGGTGCTGCTGGTGCTGCTGCTGCTGCCGCTGCTGCTGCTGTCACTATTGCTCCCACCATCACTGCCACTGCTGTCACCTGCACTGTCTGCCACACTGCCCTTCCTCTCCTTCCTCTTCCCTTCCTCTTCTTTCCCCACCTTCCCCCCTCCCTTTCCACCACCTCCTCGCCCTCCTCCGTGTAGTAATCCTCTGAGAGCTCTTCCTTCTTCACGTACACACCCACTGTCACTGTGCTGCACCCGTGGATAGCAGGGGTATGACGTGGACAGCAGGGGCATGATGTGGACAGCAGGGGCATGATGTGGACAGCAGGGGTATGATGTAGACGGCAGGGTTATGGCGTGCAAAACAGGATTGCATAAGAAGGACGGCTCGCATACCCTCACCTCGCTTCTCCAAACTCTTCAGCTTTCCTCTCATCGAATCGGCATCCCATCTTCTTTACCCACAGGCACTTGCCTTTACCCACTGCCACGCTCTCATTCCACTCAAGCCCCATCCTCACCCCATCTCCCGGCCGGCTCACCTCTTATTCAGCGCCCTCCTCACCTTTGCAGCGTCAGCCTGCCTGACTCTCCGCTGGTCCACGGGTACGCAAGCCACGTTCCCGTTCCACTCAAGCCCTCTCAACATCCACCCTCCTCACCCTCACTCCCTCACCTTTTATCCAGCGCCCTCCTCATTTTAGCAGCACTCGCCCGAGCCACTCTCCTTTGATCCACGGGCACGCGAGCCACGTTCACATTGCGGGGCACGGGGCGGCCGTCGGGCGGCGACTGGGGCGGCAGCAGGGCGGGGAAGAGCTGTCCGTTCTGCCCAGACGCTGCCAGCAGCGCCGCCACCTCGCGCTCGTCCATGGCGGCCGCCTCCGTGACTATAGTGAGGGGCGGGATGCGCAGGGCTGATAACCACGAGCAGTTGGGGGGAAAGGGGAAAAGCGGGGGGGGGTTAGATTAGGCAGTGAAGGGAGGGGGGAGGCAGGGCGCTCGTCCATGGCGGCCGCCTCCGTGATTATAGTGAGGGGCGGAATGCGCAGGGCTGATACAGACCCATCGGCACTGGGAGGATTCGGGGAATAGGGTGTTAGGGTTAATATAGGAAGTCTTTTATAGGTCCTAGGCGCAAGTTCATATGATAAAGGGGGGAGGCTGGTGGGGGCGAAGGACGACCTCTAATCTCGAGGGCCAGACCTCGATTCCTCCCTCTCCCCTCTTCTCCCCTCTTCTCCCCTCCTCCCCTCCTCCCCCCCCTTCCCCCCTTCCCCCTTTTCCCCCTGCTGGAATGGAATCCTCCTCCCCTCTGTGGGCTGCGCGTGCACCCGCTCCGAAGCTTCTCAGAAGCGTCGCTCACCCGTTTGGGAGGAGAACAGCTGGCACCGCGTGTCCCTGCCAGGCGACCCGGATGTCCCGCCCCTCGCATGCCCGTCCCAAGGCGAGCCGCCCCTCGCCGTGCCGCCCCACGCCGAGCCGCCAAACCTCGAGGCGCCCTGTGTCGAGGCGCCGCCCTGCCGCGAGTTACGGGCCCCCGCCGCCAGCAGGCGCCCCGCCGCGTCCGACCCGTGAGCGCTCGCCTGCACGCCACGTGGGCGGGAATGGGCGACACGTGGGCTCGCTTGCATGTCACGCTGGCGCGAGTGCGGCGAGTGCGGTGCTGGGAAGGGCGGTGCGGTTGCGAAAAGACCAGACTGTTGCTCGTGCCGCGAATGCCGGTCGCTGAATGGAAGTGGCCGATCCAGGAGGCGGGGCGAGCGCCAGCTACGTGCCCAGCACGTGGCATGCGCGTGCCAATCGTGTGCATTCCCAGCCCGTCGCGGCTGCAAAGACGCGCGCCGTCGTTGTTGACTGTACTGTTCCTGCTGTTGCTGGTGGTGCAGGTGCTGTTGGGGGTGTTGATGGCGCCTAATCCGCAACGCAGGGGCGACGGCCGAATTCCAAGGTGGCGACGCGTGGCACGCGGCGCGGGGACAGCGAGGCAGCGACGCGGCATGAGAGGAAGTGATTGCGGAAGCCATACCCGTTACAAGGGCTGGCGCGCACGTGACTGCCTGATTGACGGCACAGATGTGCGAGCGGTGTAGAACTAAGATTGCTCTACAAGTAATGTGGACTTGCTGGCGGCATAGGCAATGTAATAATGTCGCTGAATCATCCCCTAGCTCCGCTTAGACATCCGCCAAGACTGCCAGCAAGGCAGGACTTTCTGGGTCAGTTGGAAGCATCTAGGGGCCACCAAAAGCGGACGCGCCTGTCAGATAAAAAAGGCTAATTTCGACTCGCGGCGGTGGTTGTGAGCGAAGGTGGAAGTGAGACGACGGAAGGTTCTGCTTCGACTGTGGGGGGATGATTCGTTAAAGGAGGAAACTGGCTATTGTACAAGGCGAAGCAGAGCTGCAGTGAATGTATCCCAATTCCCCAACACAATTGTGCCAGCGAATACAATACAGAATCAAATGACACTGGAATCCCCACTGGGGGAGCTGAAATTGGGCTGTACGTGGCGGCGCGCTGCTGGCTGACGAGGATCGAGCCTTTGTGGAGTTTGCGCCATCCGTCACACCTTACACGTGACCAGACAAAAGTTACCGACAACAGCAATCTAAGCCGTCAAATCAGTAATACCTTGACACGTGAGTCAATCTTGTCCGTCTTTTTACATTCAAATCCCGACAAAGTCGAACTTGATTGTGCATCCATGTCATCATCTCGTCCAACGTGACAGCTGACAGGTGAAATTACCCATTTGCTCCACTAGAAATTCGTCGTGTCCATGGTCCTAAACGCTGATTATGTGGTTCCACAAATCAAGAGCAGCTACTGGCGTTCCCTTTCCGAATTCGCTCTCCAAACGTTCTCAAAAGTAGCAACCAAGCAGCGAAGAGTCGCGCGTCGTTCGCGAGCTATTCGCGGATCGTCCGCGTGACTAGCATCTGGAAGCATTGAGCTCCTCATGCTAGCCGCTCCTCCATTACTCGCGCGCCCTCGCCTGCTCCACCCGCGCTGCGCCGTACATCATGTCGCGCTCTCTCCTCTCGCACGCTCTACCTCCCTGCCTGCCGCGATTCACGCCCAGCACGCCGCTCAGTTACCAACATAACGGTCGCGCGGTTCAACGACAGGCCCCGCTCGATCAGCCCCCGCGTCGCTCTCGCTGCGTCCCCCGCGTCTCGGCGTCCCCCTTGCAGCCATCGTTGCGCCCATCCGCTCTCCGCAAATCGAACCATTCCAACGGTCACCGCCACAGTCTCCGTTCCCGCTGGTCCCTTATCGCCACTTCTTCGCAAATTCGCAGGAGGAATCGCGAAGATGACATTCGCCGCGCCGTCGCGGCCGCGTCGCACGGCGACGGAGCAAAGGAATCGGTCGGCGGCGAGCCCGTGACGGCGCCTGCTACGACGAGCGGAGATACCAATACGAGCAGCGGGGGATGCAATGAAACGGTTACGGGCAGTGGCAGGAGCAAAAGTAGCACTAGTAACGCAGCGCCACGAGGCCAGGATGCAGGTTCTTCGCATCCATCCCCGTTTCAAGCCTCCTCGCCACAAGAACCAACCCTCGATCCTCGCTCGGATCTCACAAGCGACCCCGCCAGTCCCTCCTCCCCTTCCGCCATCTCCCCGCCCACTTCCGCGTCGCTTCCTCCGCCCAGCTTCCCCGCGTGGTACTACTCCCCGCGCCACGTGGCAGCGCACTACGGGGTGAATCTCGATACGGGCTTGTCCGAATCCGACGTGGCGCGGCGGCGCGCAGCGCACGGGTGGAACGAGCTAGACCGACCAGCGGGCACGGCGTTCTGGGACCTAGTCTTAGACCAGCTCAACGACACACTAGTTAGGATCCTCGTCGCCGCCGCCGTCGTCTCGCTCGCGCTAGCCGTGGCGGAGCAGGGCGGGGGAGGGGGCGCGGGAGGCGCAGCGGAAGGCGGAGGGGGAGGCGGAGGGGGGTCGGCGGGGTACACGGAGCCGGTGGTGATCGTGGCGATCGTGGTGCTGAACGCGCTCATCGGCGTGTGGCAGCAGGTGCAGGCGGAGCAGTCACTGCAGGTGAGATACGGTCGCGGAGCAAGAATCTGTCTGCTTCTGAATCGGTCGTGAGTGTATGACTTGGGGTGCCTTTTTGCATAATGGATGAGCCTGAGCTACTCCAAATATAGAAACCTGAATGCGTTTCCTTTCTCTTCCCCGTCCTTTCCTCCCCCCACCATCCGCCTCCTTCCCCCATCCATCCTCCCATGCGCTCCCCCTCCGCCCTCCACGTGCCCCCAGGCGCTGAAGGAGCTGCAGCCGCAGACGGCGCGAGTGAGGCGGGCCGCTGCTCCTGTCGTGACCGTGGAGGGAGGCCAAGGCGCCCGGGAGGACGACAGTGACGAGGCAGCAGTGCTACCAGCAGCAGCAGCAGCGGCAGCAGCAGCAGCAGCAGCAGCAGCAGCGCCATTCATAACGGTGCCAGCGCGAGAGCTGGTACCGGGGGACGTGGTGGAGGTGCGGGCAGGCGACCGCGTGGCAGCAGACATGCGCATCGTTGCGGTGGTGAGCGGTTGTGTGCGGCTCAACGAGTCCACTCTTACTGGGGAGAGCGAGCCCCAGGTGAAGCAGACCGAGCGGGTGCCGCGGAGGCGGGAAGGGGGAGAGGAGAGTGAGGAGGAAAGTCGGTGGGACGACAGCAGCAGCGACGACGATCTGACGATTGCGAGGACAGTCCAGTCAAACGCCAACATAGTGCTTGCTGATGGTGGGAACAACGAGGAGGAGGGAGCAGCGCAGCAGGCAGATTGGGACAGCAGCAGCAGCAGCGATGGCCTGGAGATCCAGGCGAAGGCGAACATGGCGTTTGCGGGAACAACAGCAGCAAGCGGGACGTTCATCGGGGTGGTGGTGGCGACAGGCATGGGCACGGAGGTGGGGCGCATCCAGGCGCAGATCACAGCGGCTGCAGCGGAGGAGGCGGCGTACGACACGCCGCTGTCGCGCAGATTGGACGAGTTCTCCACCGCGCTGACCCAGGCTGTGGGCGCGATGTGCGTGGTGCTCTGGGCCGTCAATTTCGACCGGTTTGTGGCGTGGAACGCGGTGGGGCGGACTTTGGTATTCAACGCTCAGCAGGCGACGTTCTATTTCAAGGTGAGGGTTGTAGGAAGGTGTGTGCGAAGGAGGGAGTGAGGGGTGAGGTGAGGCTGTGGGCGCCATGTGCGTGGTGCTCTGGGCGGTCAATTTCGACCGGTTTGTGGCGTGGGACGCCGTGGGGAGGACTCTCGTGTTCCACGCGCGGCAGGCCACATTCTATTTCAAGGTAACGTGTGGTGTCATGGTTTGTGGTGCGTTTGGGGGTAAGGGAAGATGAGTCACCCAGGCCGTGAGCGCTGTGCGTCCAGATTCTTCCGACCCTCTCTGGCAAGACCACGTGCCTCTCTGGCAAGACCACGTGCCTCTCTGGCAAGACCACGTGCCTCTCTGGCAAGACCACGTGCCTCTCTGGCAAGACCACGTGCCTCTCTGGCAAGACCACGTGCCTCTCTGGCAAGACCACGTGCCTCTCTGGCAAGACCACGTGCCCCTCTGGCAAGACCACGTGCCTGTCTGCCATTGGGCATGCGGCGCATGGCAGAGGCCAACTATATCCTCCTCTGCTTGCCGTCGTGTGATACGCTGTGTCCTGGTTGCATTCTCCCATCCCACCCCACGTGCCTGGCTCTGGGCACACGGTGCATGGCAGAGGCACTCTATAGTTCAACACTTGCTGTACGTTGAGACAAACCATGGTTGAAATGACTTTTGAGGAGTCCCAAAAGTGATTTCAAGATATCGTCCCACCCGACGTGCCTGCCTCTGGGCGCACGGTGCAAGGCAGAGGCGCACACTATAGTTCCACGCTTGCTGTCCGTTGAGACAAACCTTGGCTGTGACACGGCCATTACTCAACCACAATGTCTCACCTGCTTTTGAGTCGTCTCAAAACCAAGCACAACATCTCACCTGTTCAAACCTGAACCCTGAAATTAGGCCCTTGTTCAAGCTCTTAAACCCCCACTCAACAGGAAGCAGTGGCGCTGATGGTTGCTGCAAGAACCCTGAACCCCAAAACCCTGACCCCCCTGAACCCTGGTCCTAGAATTCCAATCCCTGAGCAGGAAGCAGTGGCGTTAGCAGTAGCAGCGATCCCCGAGGGGCTACCAGCAGTGATCACCATGTGCCTGGCTGTACCAGCTGTAACCCCTAAACCCTGAACCCTGGCCCCTGTACCTCAACCCAATCACTGAGCAGGAAGCAGTGGCGCTGGCAGTAGCAGCGATCCCCGAGGGGCTACCAGCAGTGATCACCACGTGTCTTGCGCTGGGCACGCGGCGCATGGCAGAGGCGCACGCTATAGTCCGACGCTTGCCGTCCGTTGAGACGCTCGGCTGCACCACCGTGATCTGCTCGGATAAGACCGGCACGCTCACGACCAATCAGATGGCGGTTGCCAGCCTGGCGGTGCCACGTGGCGCTGACGGGGACGTGCGGTGGTATGACGTGTCGGGGACCACGTATGACCCGGGGGATGGGGAGGTGGTGGGGTGGAGAGGGGGAGGGCGAGGGGAAGATAAGGGAGGAGGAGGAGGAGCAGGAGGAGGAGGAGAGGGAGGAGGAAATGAATCTGTTTTGAGCAAGGATGGTTCGAGTGGAGGGATTGTGAGTGAGGGGGATTGGAGTGGAGAGGCGGGAGTGTGTAGTGTGGCGGGCATCAGTGCGCTGTGCAATGACAGCAGCATCACCGTTAGCAAGGGGCGATATGGCTGCTCTGGCATGCCCACTGAGGCTGCTCTCAAGGTGAGAGGAGGTTCGCTCAAGGTGGAGTGCGGTGGAGTGAGGTGAGGTGATGGGGCCATGGGGGCGGTACTGCTGCTCTGGCATGCCCACTGAGGCCGCTCTTAAGGTGAGGGATCACAGGTGCAGGCACGGTGTGCGGTCACGGGAGGGTAGGGGTCAAGGTGGGAGGAGAACTACGCTGAACATGAGGATAGCTTCTCATGATCATGAGGTGCACGGAAGGTGTGAAGCAGTGTGGTGAAGGTGAGGAGTCATGTGATGGTGTGGTGAAAAGGGGAGTTATAATGAGGGCAGGCTGAGGTCAGAGGGGAACTTATACAAGTCATGAAGTCGTGAAATCATGAACTTATCACATCTTTGGGGCTAATCAAAAGTCATGAAGAGGAGAGGTGCCATATCACGACGAGAGATGGTTTTGGGTGAATCACAGTGAAGAAGAGAAGAGGCAGCATGGCTTCTGGTTGCAGCAGCCGTAGTGCATGTGCATAATCAATGGTGCTTCTGAAAGGAAGCGAATGCAAATACCAGATGTAAAAGAAAAAACAAATAAACAAGCAAGCAAGCAAACAAAACAACAAAGCTACAAACCAACAAACAAACAAACAAACAAACAAACAAACAAACAAACAAACAAACAAACAAACAAAACAGAAACTTTTGTCTGTCTCACATCCCGGTATGCACGCAGGTGTTGGCGGAGAAGCTGGGCGTGCCGAGCCCGAGCCCGGAGCAGCAGGCAAGGATAGAGGCAGCACGGCAGGCAGGTAAGGAGGAGGGCTCCCTCTCGCAAGCACATACTGGGAGCAGCGGTGGGCGCGCGTGTGCACTCTGGAGTTCGACCGCCTTCGCAAGTCCATGAGCGTCATTGTCACGCCCCTGGGGGGCCACGACTTGCCCATGCAGCAGCGCGACGCAGCTGGGGCGGGTGCGGCAGTAGGAGCGCCAGGAGGAGTGGGGATGGGTGCGGTAGTGCGGGAGGGCGGGGCAGCACTGGAGGAAAACATGTTGGAGGGAAGAGGAGAGGGGACAGGGGAGGAGGGGTTGTGCGGGGTGGGGAACCTGCTGTTGGTGAAGGGAGCAGCGGAGTGCGTGCTAGGGCGCTGCTCCTCCCTGCAACTCCCGTCTGGCGCCATTGTCCCCCTCTCCCCCTCCGCGCGCACCCGTGTGGCCCACAGCATTGCAGCCATGGCCTCCCAGGGCCTCCGCGTGCTGGCCTTTGCCTTTCGAGACAACCTCCCCCCTGCTCTTGCGGGTTTGGGCTTGAAGACCGGGCGGGATGGGGGCGAGGGGAGCGAGGGAGCGGGTGATGGGAGCAGGGAAGGGGTGGGAAGGGATGGAAGGGAGGTGCCGGGGAGTGGGGAGGGGTGGAGTGAGGAGGTGCGGCGGTGGGTGGAGGATGGGAGCCGGTACGAGGAGTTGGAGAGCGAGCTCACGTTTGTGGGGCTGGTGGGGATCCGAGACCCGCCCAGGCCTGAGGTTCCGGGGGCGATAGCAGCGTGCACGAGTGCAGGCATGCGCGTGATTGTCATCACTGGGGATTCAGGGGCTACCGCTGATGCTGTTGCACGGCAGATCGGGCTGTTTGGGGGCGGTGGTGAGGAGAGTCACGGTGGCTTGCATCCTGACCGTGACTCTCCTGCTGGGCATTCGTACGCGGCGGCGGAGTTTGTTCGGCTGCCAGAAGCGGAGCAGCTGAGGATCCTGGCAGGAAACCCAGAGGGGACAGCAGGCACAAGCGGGGAGACAGGTGGAGATAGAAGCAGCGGAGGGGCGAGGGGTGGCAGTAGGGGCGGCAATCTGGTGTTCTGGCGGGCGGAGCCGGCGCACAAGCAGGCGATCGTGAGGGCGCTGCGAGCACAGGGCGAGGTGGTGGCCATGACGGGCGACGGTGTGAACGATGCCCCCGCGCTCAAGCTGGCGGACATTGGCATCGCCATGGGCGCCACTGGCACTGAGGTGGGCGGTAATAGGTACTGATGGTTGGTGGTGGTGGTGGTGGCACAGAGGTGGGTGGGGAGGGCTTCAATGGGTGATAGATGGGCGCGGGGCGAGGTGGTGGCCATGACGGGCGACGGGGTGAACGATGCCCCCGCGCTCAAGCTGGCTGATATAGGGATTGCCATGGGGGCTACTGGCAGTGAGGTGAGGTGGCGGGCGGGGCAGAGAGGTGCGTGGGAGCGGTGACGGTTGTTGAAAAAGAGCTTGTTCTATAGAAGGAGACGCCCCGTTCCCATCCTCATCCCCTTCCGCATCCCCATCCCCAACCCATTCCCACTCATATGCCGTACATCCCCCATCCCCAACCCATTCCCACTCATATGCCGTACATCCCCCATCCCCAACCCATTCCCACTCATATGCCGTACATCCCCCATCCCCAACCCATTCCCACTCATATGCCGTACATCCCCCATCCCCAACCCATTCCCACTCATATGCCGTACATCCCCCATCCCCAACCCATTCCCACTCATATGCCGTACATCCCCCATCCCCAACCCATTCCCACTCATATGCCGTACATCCCCCATCCCCAACCCATTCCCACTCATATGCCGTACATCCCCCATCCCCAACCCATTCCCACTCATATGCCGTACATCCCCCATCCCCAACCCATTCCCACTCATATGCCGTACATCCCCCATCCCCAACCCATTCCCACTCATATGCCGTACATCCCCCATCCCCAACCCATTCCCACTCATATGCCGTACATCCCCCATCCCCATCCACAGGTGGCCAAGGAAGCACGCCTCTGGGTCAGGATCTTCACGCTATTGTCGCCTCCTCCTCCTCCTACCCCATACTCCATCCACAGGTGGCCAAGGAAGCACGCCTCTGGGTCAGGATCTTCACGCTATTGTCGCCTCCTCCTCCTCCTACCCCATACTCCATCCACAGGTGGCCAAGGAAGCACGCCTCTGGGTCAGGATCTTCACGCTATTGTCGCCTCCTCCTCCTCCTACCCCATACTCCATCCACAGGTGGACAAGGAAGCACGCCTCTGGGTCAGGATCTTCACGCTATTGTCGCCTCCTCCTCCTCCTACCCCATACTCCATCCACAGGTGGACAAGGAAGCACGCCTCTGGGTCAGGATCTTCACGCTATTGTCGCCTCCTCCTCCTCCTACCCCATACTCCATCCACAGGTGGACAAGGAAGCACGCCTCTGGGTCAGGATCTTCACGCTATTGTCGCCTCCTCCTCCTCCTACCCCATACTCCATCCACAGGTGGCCAAGGAAGCCGCAGACATGGTAGTGGCAGACGACAACTTTGCCACAATTGTTGAAGCAGTGCGGGAGGGCCCCATCCCTAACCCAACTCCACCCGCATGCACCCCTTATACCCCCATGCGCAGGTGGCAAAGGAAGCAGCGGACATGGTGTTAGCAGACGACAATTTCGCCACAATCGTTGAAGCCGTAAGAGAAGGCCGCGCCATCTTCGACAACATGCGCGCCTTCATCCGCTACCTCATCTCCTCCAACATCGGCGAGGTCATTGCCATCTTCGCCACCTCCCTGCTGGGCCTGCCCTCCTCCCATTTACCACCATTCCCTAAGTCTCTTTCTTTCCATTTCCTCCTATCCCCCACCCCCCTCTCCTGTCGTACACCCAGGTAGCAAAAGAAGCCGCAGACATGGTACTGGCAGACGACAACTTTGCCACGATCGTAGAGGCAGTTCGAGAGGGGCGTGCCATCTTTGACAACATGCGCGCGTTCATCCGCTACCTCATCTCCTCCAACATCGGCGAGGTCATCGCCATCTTCGCCGCCTCCCTGCTCGGCCTGCCCTCCTCCTCCTTCCTCCTCCCCGTGCAGCTCCTCTGGGTCAACCTCGTGGGGGACGGGGCTCCGGCGGTGGCGTTAGGCTTTACTCCGCCCGAGGCTGATGTGATGGCGAGGCCGCCAAGGGAGAGGGATCAGGGGCTCGTTTCCCCGTGGGTGCTCGTGCGGTTTGGGGTGCTGGGGGCGTACATCGGTGCTGCGACCGTTGGGGTGTTTTCGGTGTGGTTTTTGAATGGGGAGGTGGTGGAAGGGGGGGTTGGAGGGGTGGGGATGGGCGTGGGGACGGTGGAGGAGAGTGTGAGGGGGGAGGAGGGGGTGGGGGGCGGAAATGGCGGGTGGTTTGCGCCGTTTGAGTTGGAGAGGGACGGGCATTCCGCTGTGACTTGGGAGCAGCTGTCGCACTCCCGCACCTGCTCTGTCTGGTCGGCGCCTGCTGCTGCTAGCGCCGCTTCTGGTGCTCCTGCTGCTACTCTCACCGCCCCTCCTCTTGTAGACCCACCAGCAACCGCTGCATCAGCATTCGCAGGAGAACCAGCACCAGCAACCGCACCACAATCCCCCTTCAACCCACACCTCTCCTACACAGTAGCAGGCGGCGGCACAGTCTCCTTCCCCACCCCGTGCGACTACTTCACTCACGGCACAGCCAAGCCATCCACGCTAGCGCTCACCACCCTCGTCACCATCGAGATGCTACTCGCCCTCAGCTCTGTTTCCGAGTACCGCAGTTTGCTGCAATCTCCACCGTGGATCAACAGGTGGTTGATCCTGGCCGTCGGTGCGTCCATGGGGCTCCACGTGGCGCTGCTGTATTCGCCGCTCGCGGGCGTGTTTGAGGTGGTGCCGCTGACGTGGCGGGAGTGGGCGCTGGTGGTTGTGTTTTCCCTGCCCGTGCTGCTGGTGGATGAGGGGCTCAAGCTGCTGGGCCGGTGGATCTTTGCACGGCAGAGGGGAGAGACTAGATAGAGAGTCTCAAGGATGAAAGAAGTTCCAATGGCTCCAGGTGCCTTCCCTCTCCGCTGGTGGTGTTCTCGCTGCCCGTGCTGCTGGTGGATGAAGGGCTCAAACTGATGGGCTGGTGGATCTGAGCACGACAAAGGGGAGAGGCTAGAAAGGCCCTCAAGTATCAAATCAAGTATCAGGGCCTCCCAAGTGCCTTCTCATCTGATGCTGCTGCTCTTCCTGCCCGGGCCTCAAGCTCGTGGGCCGGCCGATCTTTGCACGGCAGAGAGGAGGGCCAAAATAGAGATTCAAGGGCCGGGAAGATTTGCAATGGCTCCAAGCGTCCTCTCTCTCTCGTCTGCTGCTGGAGCTGTCTCTGCCCGTGCTGCTGGTGAAGCAAGGGCTCAAGCTGGTAGGCAGGCCGCAGGCGGGTGTTCATATGGTACAAACAGGAGGTGCAGTGCTGGTGGTGGATGGATTGGAGAGGTTCATATGGTTGGGAGCAAGTTCTTTCCAACGCAGAGCTTCAAGTTTTGAAACGCCTCAAATCCATGCTGGATGGATTGGCGGGGTTCACTTGGTTGGGTTGGGAGCCCAATTTTTTTCAAGGCACAGTTTAAAACGTTGAGAGTGTCCCTCCCGGGTGCTGGGCCTCTCTTGCTCGTGCTGCTGGTTGATCAGACCAGACCAGGGCCTCAACTCTCAGAGCTGCTGGTCTGATGCGCCCTCTGTCAAACTATATGTGCTGCGTATTGTCTAGGCTGTAGTGGGGTAGCCCATATGGGGTACAACCCAATTAGGGTTTACTACTTGTACTCCTGCATCCTGTTAGTTCAGCCATTCCTGCTGCTAGATTCTGACATGGTTTCAGAGCACTAAGGTCCGTAGGACCGTTTTTTTTTTCGGGCCCACCTACCGCTGCGGTTACCGCGCTACCCCACGTACCTGCCTGCCTTGCCTTGCCTTGTGACGTGCTGCACAAGCGCTGCCTCCTGCTGCCCTAGGCCAGCGCGCTGCCCCTAGAGGCCCGTAAAGCCCGCGCGCCGCCTCTACACGCCTGTCAGGCCCGCAAACACGCTGCTACCGCGCGCTGCCCGCACCGAAACCGCGCAGCCCGCACCGAGTCGCGCGCAGCCCGCTGCAGCCACGCGCAGCCCGCACCGAGCCGCGCGCAGCCCGCTGCAGCCGCGCGCAGCCTGCACCGAGCCGCGCACAGCCCGCTGCAGCCGCGCGCAGCCCGCACCGAGCCGCGCGCAGCTCGCAGCTGCCGCGCGCAGCCCGCGCCGAGCCCACGCAGCCCGCGTCGAGCCGCGCGCGGCCTGCTACGGCCTCGCGAGGCCCGCGCGCGGCCCGCAGCAGCCCGCGCCGAGCCGCGCGCGGCCCGCTACTACCTAGCGCGGCCGCGCGCGGCCTGCAGCAGCTCCGCGCGCTGTCCGCGCAGCCCGCGCCGAGCCGCGCGCAGCCCGCTGCCTCGGCCCCGACCTGCCGCTGATGCGGCCCCGCCCCGCAGCTGCCACGGCCCCGACCTGCCGCTGAAGCGGCCCCGCCCTGCAGCTGCTTCGGCCCTGCTCTTCAGCCGGTGTTGCGGCCCCGACGTCGCCGCTGTCGAGCGCCGGCCATGCTCGCCCGGTGAGCGCCTGCTCTCCCAGCCTTTGGTGAGCGACTGCCTGCCTGCCTGACGGCCTGCCTGCCTGCCTGCCTGGCTGCCTGCCTGCCTGTCGGCCTGCCTGCCTGCCTGCCTGCCTGCGTGCCTGCCTGCCTGCCTGCCTGCCTGCCGGCCTGCCTGTCTGTCTGCCTGCCTGCCTGCCTGCCTGCCTGTCTGCTTGCCTGCCTGCCTGCCTGCCTGCCTGCCTGGCTGCCTGCCTGCCTGCCGGCCTGCCTGCCTGCCTGCGTTCCTGCCTGCCTGCCTGCCACGCCTGCCCTGCCCGCGCTAATGATACTGGCAGGTGGTCAGATGCAGCTCCAGCGACGTTCACGCGAGCCTCTCACGCCCCAGCAGCTTAGTGAGTGGTATACTAGCTGGGGTTGTCGCGGTAGCCGTCGTAGCTGTCGCCCTGGGGCTGGTCAGTTGGGAGCGTCTAGCAGTGGCCAGCTGCAGCTGCAGGGGCGTCCACGCGAGACACTTACGCCTCGGCAGCTCCAGGAGTGGTACGCTCAGTGTAGCAGGTCTACACGTACAGTTCGCTGCCCGTACGTCATTCGCACAGGTGCTAGGACTGGTCAGCCTTGTGGGACACTTGGTCACACACAGTCCCGCTGCTTCGCCCGTCTGAGCGACGACTGGCGCACAGTGTTTGGCGACGAGGCTGAGCTCCCCACCTGGCTAGAGCTGCATGGACAGGGGGTAGATATCTTTGCGCGTGACTATGATGCTATTCTCATTGCCATGTATGCATTGTCTACTAGTGCTGACCGTGCCTGTTGCCTGTGCGTACCGCCTGACCCTGGTGAGGCTGCTGCCCTAGGTGCTAGTGCGTCTCCTGCTCTAGGTGCTGGTGAGGCTGCTGCTCTCGGTGCTAGTACGTCTACTACTCTAGGTACTGGTGAGGCCGTGGCTTCAGGTGCTGCTGTGTCTGCTCTCTCTGGTACTGCGCCCACTGCGGTCTCGCACACCTTCACCCTTGACTCAGGAGCTTCCCGCTCCTTCTTTCGCGACTGCACCGCACTCACGCCGCTCCGTCGGCCAGTCCCGGTCTCCCTGGCGGACCCCTCTGGGGGTCCAGTCCTTGCCCACTATTCCACGGTTCTGCCGTGTCCGGCCGTCCCGTCCGGCTCGCTGTCAGGTCCTTATCTCCCCTCATTCTCTACGAACTTGGTGAGTGGAGCTGACCTCCAGGATGGGGGGGTTCACCAGTTCACTCCTGCGAGTCAGCGAGTGACTCACTGTACGTGTGCTAGGACGGGCCGGCACTTGGCCACGTTCACCCGTGCACCTGGCTCGAGTCTGTACACACTGACCACTGAGTCCCCTCAGGTAGCTGCGTCTGCGTCTGCGTCTGCGTCTGCGTCTGGTCAGCTGGCGGCCCCCTGCGAGTGTCGCGCTTTGTCGCACGACACTCTCCTGTGGCACCACCGCCTTGGTCACCCCTCCTTGCCTCGCCTGCGTAGCATGCACTCTCGCTCCCTGGTCTCTGGTCTCCCCAGGTCTCTGCCTGCCCTCCCTCCCTCGCCTGCGCCGCCCTGCATTCCTTGCATCGAGGGGCGGCAACGCGCTGCTCCTCACTCCTCCTCGTTTCCTCCCACAGAGGCTCCACTGCAGACGCTCCACCTGGACGTGTGGGGCCCAGCCCGCGTCCAGGGACAGGGCCACGAGCGGTACTTCCTGCTGGTTGTCGACGACTACACGCGTTACACCACGGTCTTCCCCTTGCGGACCAAGGCGGATGTCCCTGCTGTTTTGATCCCCTGGATCCGCGCTGTTCGTCTCCAGCTCCGCGAGCGGTTCCGGTCGGACTTTCCTGTCCTGCGTCTGCACTCTGACAGAGGTGGTGAGTTCTCCTCCGATCTCTTGGCAGCTTACTGTGCGGAGCACGGCATCACCCAGTCGTTCACGCTTCCGGCCTCTCCGCAGCAGAATGGGGTTGCTGAGCGCCGCATTGGCTTAGTCATGGAGGTCGCTCGTACCTCCATGATCCATGCGGCTGCCCCCCATTTTCTGTGGCCGTTTGCGGTCCGGTACGCCGCGCATCAGCTCAACCTTTGGCCCCGTGTCTCCTTACCAAAGACCTCGCCCACACTGCTGTGGACGGGGAAGGTTGGCGATGCGTCGCGTTTCCGGGTCTGGGGTGCTCGTGCCTTTGTCCGCGATACCACCGCGGACAAGCTCTCCGCCCGCGCTGTTCCCTGTGTCTTCCTTGGCTTTGTCCCTGACGCGCCTGGTTGGCAGTTTTACCACCCCGCCTCGCGCCGTGTCTTTGCGTCTCAGGACGTCACGTTCGACGAGTCGGTTCCCTTTTACCGTCTCTTCCCCTACCGCACTGCCTCGCTCCCCCCCCCGCCGCTCTTCCTCGCTCCAGGTGCTCCCCAGGTAGACCCCCTCCCCGCTCCCGGTCCTGCTCCTTCAGGTGTTTCTCAGGTAGACCCTCCTCCCTTGACTGCGCCGGTTGAGGTCACTGGTGACTCAGGTCCTACTGAGAGTGGTCCTGCTCGGGGTACTACTTCTGGGGGTGCTGAGCCTGGAGGTGCGGAGCCTGAGGGTGCTGAGCCTGGGGGTGTGGAGCCTGGTGGTGCTGAGCCTGAGTGTGAGGGGTCTGGGGGTGCTGAGCTTGGCGGTACTGACGCTGGAGGTTCTGGAGCTACTGAGGGTGGTGGCGCTGGAGGTTCGGGAGCTGCTGGAGGGCCTAGTACTGGTGGCGCTGGAGCTGGAGGTTCTGGAGCTGCTGAGGGTGCTCGCGCTGGAGGTTCTGGAGCCGCTGGAGGTACTGGTGCTGAGGGTACTGACACCGGAGGTTCTGGAGCCGTTGGGGGTGCGGGCGCTGAGGGTTCTGAGTCTGCTGTTGCGCGGTCTCCTTGGAGTGGCCGCCTTCGTCCACGTGTGCCTCTCACCCCACAGCAGCTGCAGGACTGGTACGGTCGCCGTCAGCGTCGCGCTGCTGGAGCTAGGAGTGGTGCTGGTCCTTTGTCTACTGGAGGTGCTGGAGTCGCTGGTTCTGGAGGTGCTCGTGCTGGAGACACTGAGGCTGGAGACCCTGGGACTGGAGGTGCTGGTTCTGGGGGTGCTGCTGCTGGAGACACTGAGGCTGGAGACCCTGGGACTGGGGGTGTCGGCTCTGGGCCTGGAGCTTCTGGAGCTGCTGGAGGTACGGGAGCTGCTGGAGGTACGGGAGCTGCTGGAGGTACTGGAGCTGCTGGAGGCACTGGAGCTGCTGGAGCTGCCGGTACTGGTGCAGCTGCGCCGACACGGCTGTTCTTCGCTCCGCCGTCTCCGTCGTCTCTGCCGCCGCCTGACTCTGCTCTTCGTCAGGTTGTTACTCTCCCGTCGTCTACTGGTCTTCCGTTACAGCCTGGCTCACCGCTGCCTGCTCCTTCTCCTTACACTGAGCAGACTGGTAGTCCTGCTGAGCGTCGTGAGCCTGCGTCGCGTCCTGTCTCGCCTGCTCGTCCTGGTCGTACCGGTCGTCGTGTTCCTCGTTCGCGTCAGCCGGCTGTCCCCAGCGCACGCCTCGTAGTCCGTCGTCCTTCCTCTGCTCTGCAGCCTGTTCCTCTGCCGTCTCCCCCTGCGTCCTCTCTGCCTGCCGTTCCGGACCCTGAGTCTGACAGGTTTCGTACTGAGCACCCTACTGTCACGCGTCTCCTAGCCACTGTTGTCACTGACCCGTCGTTTGAGTCTACTGCTGCGTCTGCCTTGGTCGCTGAGCTTGTTGACTTTGCTGCTGCCTGTCGTCTAGACTACGCCGCTAGTCTTGTTGCTGAGTCTGAGTCTGTCTGTCCTCCGTCCGTCGGGGGTGAGTGTGCTCTTAGCACGGACGTCCTTGAGGACAGGCAGGAGGAGTTCCAGTGTCTTGCTGCTGCTTTACCTCATCTTGTGTCCTCGCTACTTGCCCCTGAGGGAGACCCGGATGCACCAGACATCCCGACTCCGCGCTCTTACGCAGAGGCGATAGAGGGTCCCTACTCCTCTCAGTGGCAGGCAGCCATGGACGCAGAGATGGCTTCCTGGAAGTCCACAGGCACCTACGTTGACGAGGTTCCCCCACCTGGGGCGAACATCGTCAGTGGCATGTGGATTTTCAGGGTGAAGCGGCCGCCGGGTTCTCCGCCTGTCTTCAAGGCGCGTTACGTGGCTCGAGGCTTCAGTCAGCGAGAGGGAGTTGACTTCTTCCAGACCTTCTCCCCCACCCCGAAGATGACCACTCTTCGGGTGCTGTTGCACGTTGCCGCTCACCGTGACTACGAGCTTCACTCTCTTGACTTCAGCACAGCTTTCTTGCAGGGTAGCCTGCACGAGGAGATCTGGCTGCGCCGCCCCCCGGGCTTCACTGGGTCGTTCCCTCCTGGTACCCAGTGGAGCCTCCGGTGGCCGGTCTACGGTCTCCGCCAGGCGCCACGTGAGTGGCACGACACACTGAGGACTACGCTTGCGGCTCTTGGGTTTGCGCCTTCTACTGCTGACCCGTCGCTGTTTCTGCGCACCGACACTTCCCTGCCGCCGTTCTACATCCTCGTGTACGTCGACGACTTGGTTTTTGCCACTGCTGACACTGAGGCTCTCGCCCACGTGAAGTCGGAGCTGCAGAAGAGACACACGTGCACAGACTTGGGTGAGCTGCGCAGCTACCTTGGCTTGCAGATCACCCGAGACAGAGCACGTCGCACCATCACCTTGACTCAGTCACACATGGTGCAGCAGGTCCTTCAGCGCTTCGGCTTCACCTGGTCTTCAGCACAGCCTACTCCTCTGGCTACAGGTCACACGCTCTCAGCTCCACCTTCGGACGAGTCCGTAGAGCCGAGTGGTCCTTACCCAGAGCTAGTCGGCTGCCTCATGTACCTGATGACTTGCACTCGACCTGACCTCGCGTACCCTCTTGGTCTCCTGGCTCGCTACGTGGCTCCTGGTCGGCACCGACCTGAGCACATGGCTGCTGCTAAGAGGGTACTGCGTTACTTGTGCAGCACATCAGGCATGGGGCTAGTGCTTGGAGGGACGAGCCCAGTTGTCCTCACTGGGCACTCAGACGCTTCTTGGGTTGACGACCTGGCTACTCAGCGGTCGTCACAGGGTTACACCTTCAGCCTTGGCTCTGGTTCAGTTTCGTGGCGTTCTACACGCTCGTCTTCAGTTCTCGGCTCCAGTTGTGAGGCTGAGATCTACGCCACCGCCATGGCTGCACAGGAGTTACGCTGGCTCACCTACCTGCTGACTGACTTGGGAGAGCAGCCTCGTTCTCCTCCAGTGCTGTACGTTGACAACAAGGCCGTCATTGCCTTGTGTGAGGAGCACAGACTGGAGCACAGAACGAAGCACATTGCTCTGCGGTACTTCCTGGCTCAAGAGTTGCAGCAGCGAGGCCAGCTTCGTCTTCGCCACGTGGCCACTCGGGCCAACACTGCTGATATATTCACCAAGGCACTTCCGTCTGGTGATCATCAGCGCTTTTGTACTCTGTTAGGCCTTGTGCCTACGTTTCCACACTTGCTGTAGTCTCTACTTGTACTGTGATCTGTTCATAAATATATATGCATGCTGGCTCTTGCTAGGTAGCCATCACTGTACTGTTATTGCTGCATATATATCTCTGCATGTGAACTGGCCCTGTGGCCCTTTGCTTGTGCTCGGAATGCGTGGTGACGTTGTGATCCACCCTGAGTTTGCTTTGCTTTTCTTGACTGGTCGTGTGACCCCTTGTTCTCCCCCACTTTGCCTATGGGGGTGTGTCAAACTATATGTGCTGCATATTGTCTAGGCTGTAGTGGGGTAGCCCATATGGGGTACAACCCAATTAGGGTTTACTACTTGTACTCCTGCATCCTGTTAGTTCAGCCATTCCTGCTGCTAGATTCTGACACCCTCAAGCTGCTTGCTGGGCAGCCCAGGTGCACCACGGAAACAGCTGCTGAGAGGTGCTGATGAGTGTGGGGCATAGGATAGGACGAGTGATGTGAGCTTGTTCTTGAAGAAAAGCACCTTTCGAGCCCTAGCAGTAATTGGAGTGTGAAAGAAAGAACAAAGTTTTGAGTGTAAAATGGACTTCAGGGCCTGCTCAAGGCATTCATGTGTTTGGAGTGCGTATCATTGTAGTGCGGACACTTGTGGCGTGTGCCATTTGATTCAAGTCACTGAATGCCACTGAATACATTGCATAGCACAGGAAACATGAAAAATATATGATATCTTGGTACAAAACAAGGGCTATAGACTGTACTCTTATCAGGCAAACCTCTCAACAGACTAGCATCACCACTGTGACACCCCCATTATCACATTCAACATCGCTGAAGCGCACTGAACCACACTGGGTCTGACAAGAGGTGTGCCTGATAAGAGGCGTAAGAAGAAACATTCCCTCAGCAGCCAAACCAGTATGCACTACTCAGCTGCACGGCCGCACGGAGTGTGGCGAATCTATTGTGCAATACGCAATACCCAACACACCACATGGCTCCACAATCTGTACTATTAGCAACCAAACCAGCATGCACTGCTCGGCTGCACAGCCAGCACAGACCGCACGGAGTGCCCCTTGCCATCCACCCATGTGAGGCTGCCAAACTTGAAAGACTGTGAAGCCCACTTCACCACCACAGTCACAGTGTACGCCTTTCGTTGCCCGGGTGCGATCGTAAACCTTGACGGCGACACTTTCACATTCACTCCGGGAGGTCTCTTTATCCTCACTGTATAAGTCGACGTGGTATCCGCGACATTTGTAACAGTCCGTGTAACTGTAGCTTTAAAATGCACTTTGGCCAGCGAGATAGCTGGCCGATTGAGATTCTTCGCTTCAATGGCTTTCAGAGAAGCTGTACCGAATTCCCTCCGTGCTCTGTTATAGTTCTGCCCGGCAAGAAAGTTTCGGAAGTCCTGCTCCCCAGCATCATAAGTTAACCCAGGGTTAACCACCCTAGCAGGCACCACATGCCCTGCTCCCATCTCCCACGGCGACGCCGCCTTCCCATACTCGTTTTTAATCGCTCCCTTTCTGCTGTTAGTCCTCCTTGCTGTAGTCATCATAGCGGACATGATCTGCGAGGGCGTCCAATCAGGATGCTGCTGGATGATCAGAGCAGCAATGCCAGCAACATGCGGAGTAGCCATGGAAGTCCCTGACAGCGCTTGGAACGACCCTTTGGAGCCGACGGTGGTTCCGGGAGCAGCAGCGTAGAGCTCAACACCCGGAGCGATGATGTCGGGCTTGAGGATGGTGTTGGAGGGGTAGGCTGCAGGGGTGGAGCGTGAGGGCTTGGCGAGTGGACCGGTGGAGGAGAAGTAGGCCACTACCGGGGCAGCGGTGGCTGCTGGGGAGATGCTGGCTGGGATGCGCGCTCCACTGAGGGTTGACACTGTGGTGGCTGTGGTGGCTGTGGTGGCTGTGGTGGTTGTGGTGTTGGAGGGAGTTTCCGTTGGTGCTGGTGTTGCTGCTGCTGGTGACGCTGTGGAGGAGAGGGATGCACCATTGCGGAGGATGGTGCTGCAGGGCGTGGCGGGGAGAGGGGAGTGGGCACGTGAATGATGCATTTGGAAATTGGGAAGAGCAGGAGAGGAATGTGAAGGGAACAGTGCAGAGGTGTGAGGTGGAGAGAACACACGGCCAACCCACTTCTTCCCCCTTTTCTTTGTACCTGGTGCCTGGGGTCACATGGTCACGTGGGTTCACATGGTCACGTGGGATCACATGGTCATGTGGTAGCGCAACCTTTGTCCTTCCAATTATCACTGCCGTTCCCCATCCTTTCCCCACCCCTCACCCGGCACCCACTGTCATGTGGTAAGAAGAGAAGTTGCAGAGCGTGTGCGCGATAGCCCGTGGGTGCAAAAAACTCGAACATCACTGCCTTCTCCCACTTTCTCACCCCATCGCTTCCCTGCATCCCCTTCCCCCCCCCAATCCTCACCTGGCGCCGACAGTCATGTAGTAGGGCGAGAAGTTGCAGAGCGTGCGATAGCCCGTGGCTGCGAATGCTGATGGGCGACCGTCGTTGCCCGCTGCAAAGGCCACAAACACCCCCGCCTGATGGGGGGAGAGGGAACATAAAGGGGGATGGAGAAAGGGAGATAGGAAGTGGAGAGAGGATGAGTGGGGGAAGGGGGGAGACGGATATGTGAGTGAGGAAAGAGTGATAGAGGGAAGAGCGGTTTTGAGACGTCTCAAGACTTAACTTTATACACGAGGGAAGAGCGGTATAAGGTTTCTGCTTGTTAACAGGCTGCACACACCTTGTGTGACGCTGAGTAGGTGGGTGGGGGAGACGGGAGAAAAGGGCAATGTAGAAGCGACGAGTGGGAACACCGGAGCAAGGGAAAAGAGCAGCAGAGGAATGACAAGAGTGGGAGAAGGGTGATGCGTGGGAGACGAGAGAGGAGGTAACAGTTGGAGAGGAACGGAGGAGAGAGGGAAAAGTCGGGCCAAATTCATTACCGTCAGTGTGTGCCATGGATAAGCACTGGAATTAGTCAGGTACCACACGAACACTCACCGCATTGACGGGCATGAGCAGTCAGTGCATGGACAAAGCTCAGGTGCCTGATTGTACAAGACTCACGGCGTGGACGCTGATGAAGGGCACGTCGTCAAAGTAGGTAGATGAAGGTACACAGATACAACACAAAGGACGGTTTGAGGTAGGAGGAGCCCTCACGGCGTGGACGCTGATGAAGGGCACGTCATCAAAGTAGGTGTCGGTGGGACTGGCTCCGCCCAGCGAGAGGCTCAGCACATCCACACCGTCGGCGACGGCCTGATCAACGGCTGAGAAGATGTCTGGGCTCGTGGCGTACATGTCCCCATTCGCCTGCCAGAACACCTTGTAGATGGCCAGACGTGCCCCTGGTGCCATGCCGCTGGCCTTGCCGATGCTGCGGATCGGCACGTTGTTGTTACCTGCTGCTGCCCTGGTGGGAGGGATGAAGGGAGAGAAGGGGGGGACATGGAACACTCACACGTGTGAAAGGTTGATGAGGGAAATGTTTGGGTGTGTACTAGCTCCCAACCGCCTGCCAGAACACCTTGTAGATTGCCAGGCGTGCCCCCGGCGCCATGCCGCTGGCCTTGCCGATGCTGCGGATCGACACGTTGCTGTTGCCTGCTGCCGCACTGCAGGGAGAGAGAAAGGGAGAGGGGGGGTGAGATAGGGTTGTGGGAGACAAGGTTGCGGAAGGACGATGAGGGGAGTGCCTCTCTGTGGCATATGTGTTGGCACCATGCAACCACATACCTCGTGCCATGTGCAGGTGCTCACCGTTAACCATGCAGCATCCTTGCACCATGCATCATGCTTGCACCATGCACCATGTGTTATGAACCACGAACCATGCACCATGTGCCACGCACCGCACCTTGCGCCATGCACCATGCCCCAAACAAACAATAATCTGTTATGAACCACGCACACCACGTCCCCCACACAGTGACACACTCACCCCGCACACCACGTCCCCCACACAGTGACACACTCACCCGGCACACCACGTGCCATGGCCAGCAGAATCGCGCGGCGAGTCCCAGTCGTACGAGAGGTCGAGGGAGGTGCCACCGCTCTCAAAAGCCTTGTGAAACACGCCCCCTCCGATGATCTTGTTGTCACAAGCGAAGTCGCTTGTAGTGGGACACGTGCCCGCCCACCCGGCGGGGAGCGTGCTGCTGTAGCCCTGGCGGGGGGGAGGATGTGGCGTGCAGGGAGGTAGCTAGGTTGGAAAAAGCGCCGATGGGAGCGTGCTGCTGTAGCCCTGGCGGGGGTGTGGAGGGGTGGAGGTGTAGTGAGTGAGTGGGTGGAGGGGAAGTGGGGTGGTGGGGTGGAGGGGTAGTGGGACAAGGAGTGAGCATGCTGCTGTAGCTCTGCTTCCCAGTACAAGGGGGAAGATGCAATGGGGTGGGACTAGGGACATGGGGAGAGGTCGGTTGGTCAGTGGGATGCTGGTGGCTTGGATACGGAGAGGTTTTGCAGAAGGGGGCAGCGAGGCAGGAAAGGGAGGGGGAATTGCGAACGGTGGGGGCAAGGTGTGGCGTGCGCCTCACAGTAACTCTCCGAGTCGGCGAACGAGGCATGCTCGGGCCACACGCCCGTGCCCACGATGTGGTTACTGTGCTAGGTGTGGCATAGCGTGATCACCGTCTCTATTGCTAAACGCGTTGATCCTATTGGGGGCAAGGCGTGGCATAGCGTACCGTGTGGTCAAACGAGGCGTGCTCGGGCCACACGAAATTGTCCACAACATGCATTTCAAGTCGACTCAAGAAGAGGAGGGGAGAGAAGGCGGGGCATCGAGCGGTCAAAGGAGAAGAGAGATGTTGGAGGCAAGGCGATGGAAAGGCAACGTACCGTGTCATCGAACGAGGCATGTTCGGGCCATATGCCGGTGTCCACGATGCCAATCACCGTCCCATCGCCTGCGCTGCTAGGTCCGCCCGCGTGGGCCCAGAGCGAGGAGGGCAGGCCGAGGAACTTGTACGAGTCGGTGGTGGCGGGGCGCAGCACGCGCGCCTGCGTCACGGACGCCACAGAGGGGTGCCGCCTCATGCGCTGCACCTGCGCTGCCGTGAGCGTCGCTGAGAAGCCGTTTGACGCGTGCTTGTAGCTGCGGAGGAAGGGCGGGAGGGTAAGGGGAAGAGAAGAGAGGACGCGCAGGGGAGGGCAGGCAGGGGAAACAAAGGGGGTGAGGGTCGCTGAGAAGCCCTTGGGCACATGCTTGTAGCTGGCGTGGCGAAGAGTGGGAAGGGAGGAGCAAGGGGAGGGAGGTGGGGGGTTAGGGGAGGGGATGCGGTGGGTGGGAGGGTGGAGGAAACGGAGAGGAGATGGAAGTAGGGAAGCGGAGTGGGGAGAAGGGAAGCCCGTGCAAAAAGCTCGTCAGTAATAACGAACCCCTCATTCCCCTCACCTATACACCAGCTTCATCCCCTCATTCCCCTCACGCTCACCTATAGACCACCTTCTCACACAAGAAAGTCCCCCTTATCCCCCTCATTCTCCTCACCAGTAGACAATCTTCCCCTCACCTATACACCGTCTTCCCCTCACCTATACACCGTCTTCCCCTCACCTATACACCATCTTCCCCTCACCTATACACCATCTTCCCCTCACCTGTACACCATCTTCCCCGCGTCCACCCCGCTGTCTCTCAGCACGGCCTGCTGCATGCGCTGCAGCAGCTGCTTGAACGCCCTCACGCCCGGCGCCCTCACGTCCACCCGCGGCCGCCGCAGCGGACGGCCAAACTGCCCGCGACCGTTAGTAGTAGCCTCGCCAGCGGCGGCGGCGGCGGCGGCGGAGGAGGAAGCAGAAGCGGCGCCAATGGCATCGGAACCGTTTGGGGCGTCGTCTGCCGTCGCATCTGTCGCGTTGCCGTTAGGGTCGCTGTCCCAGGCGGCCGTTGCCGGGTAGCTGGGTAGTCCGCCGCGGTATGACGCGACGGGTGGTGCAGAGCGCAGGCGGACGATGTAGAGCGCGGAGGCATCGGGGGGGGAAGCTGCGGGGTATGGGGGGGGAAGGAGCGGAGGGAATGCTTTGGAGTGGCGCGGCGCGGGATTTCAACAAGCAAGTTCGCCAGACTTCCTACGTGCACCTAGCTTGCAATGAACCTGAATGCGCTGACTGCCTCACCTGGAAGGTCCTCGGTAACAATCTATTCAACAACAGTAAAAAATTGCTTTACTGTCATTGAGTCAACAGCCGAATGGTAGCATCTTCTAGGTTACCACGAGCATCGATCACGCGTACGGCGGTGTTAGTACCGTCGGTGGGGCGGAGCAGCGGCGCTGCGGAGAGCGAGACGAGGAACAAGAGGAGGAGAAAACGAGCTCGTGCTTCCCGGCGCGTCTGTACAAGGCTGCAATGCGAGTGGCAGTGCGAGCGGCAGTGCGAGCGGTGCAATAGAGGGGATTCTCTTTGGGAACTGTCGAGGGGGAATGGAGGCGCAGAAATGAGACTGAGCGAGTCAGAGTGTTTACGCCAAGTGGTCATTTTCAGGCTTTGGCGTTGGCGTAACTTCGGAATGCAAGCTTGGTCGCGCCGCGTTGGTGTTTGCTAGGTAAGACCGTTCGAGGCAGGGAACGGTGTAACCTCGAAATGCGTGCAAGTTTAATGTGCGTGACGGTGAATGACTCATTAGCGGTCGGAACCTCGGAACCTACTGCGAAAGTATACATTCGTCGCGAACCGTGACTCCTATTGGCAAGCCAGGCCTCGTCCTGTGCTGTGATGGATTGTGCAAGCGGAAAAATGCTGACTGCCGTCATTTCACATGGCAAGCCGAGAAATTGAATCACGCTTGCCTCCTCCTCCCTCGTCTCTTGCTCACCCACTTCTCTGAACGCGTTACTCATGCGGCTGGGTGCTATTAGTCGACGAAATGGGATGTGATGGGGGAGGGGAAGGGCGACATAAAACGAGAACCGGGTTACCTGGTCGTCAGTTGCTGCTCGTGTTCCCTCGCGATTCAAGTTTCAATGCTGGGTTTTGGCGATTGCGCCTTGCCGAGTTGCTGAAAATTGGCGAAATGGCCGAGGGATAAGGAGAGAATTGGCGACTGAAATCGAGTTTCGTCGTCCCGTCCAGTGGAGGTCGTGGGGGAGCGGATTGGGTGGGTTCAGGGCAGTTCATTTGAAAAGCAAGGGCGGGTAGGCGTGTGTCAGGAACACGTTTGAATGTGACTCAATGGTGTTCGGTACCATCCAGAGCGGTCTATTCTAATATTAAAGAGGTTACGAGGGGTATTGAGAAAACTGCATGATCATGGAATGGAACGCGTCTTATAGCAATCCTTGTTTCTCTCATACTGTGACAATAATCTAGCAGCAATAGTACACACAAGTACCTGTTAACCTTGGCATTGAAGATTTAAAATTCAAGATGGCTCACTGACAGGGTAGCTTAGGTATTAGCAACAGTAGCGCTTGTCGAGTGGTAAACTACCTGCTAGGTACATTAGTACTTACAGTGGACGTACGTATTTCAAGAACTCGTTCAACAATTTATTTACCGGGGCTACATTTACTTTGCTTATGTACCTACCAAAAGTTGCTCTTAAGAAGGTAAGAAGACTACACTTCTACGATGCATGACTCAATACTAATCTAGCAAAAGTTGTCAAATGTAATAGCCTATTGTGGGTCATGCTATATGGGGTACAAACAGTTAGGGTTAGGCATATGTACCCCAACCCAATCAATGCTACTCATTCCGCTGTATTCTGTTTCTGAGATGGTATCAGCAGTAGGTTAGCCGTTCCTAGGCCACGCCCAGTATCCGCCGTTCCTAGGCCCCGCCCAGTATCCGCCGTTCCTAGCCTTAGGCCGTCTCTAGCCTTGGCGTACCTTCCCTCCTCCCCGTCTGCCCTATTCGCGCTAGCCAGCCCGTACGCCAGCGCCCTAGCCAGCCCGCGCGCCAGCGCGCACGCTAGCACGCACGCCAGCGCGCCACGCCAGCGCGCCACGCCAGCGCGCCACGCCAGCGCGCCACGCCAGCGCGCACGCCAGCGCGTCGCGCCGGCGCGCACGCCAGCGCGCCGCGCCGGCGCGCACGCCAGCGCGCCGCGCCGGCGCGCCACGCTGACGCGCACGCCAGCGCGTCACGCCGACCAGCGCGCCGCGCCGCCCGCAGGCCAGCGCGCCGCGCGGCCCGCCAGCCAACGCGCCGCGCCGCTCACCAGCCAGCGCGCCGCGCCGCCCGCCAGCCTGTGCGCCGCGCCACTCGCCTGTCCGCATGCCGTGCCGCCTGCCCGCTTGCACGCCTTCGTGCCTGCTCACACGCCTCTGACTGTCTCACCCTCCCGCGGCTGGCAGCCGCGTTCTCTCACTTTCGCCCCCTATGGCGACCTCCCGAGTTCTTCGCTTTGACCCTGAGGGGAGACCTGTTGACTTTAGTACGTGGCTTACGCAGGCGCAGCGCCACCTTAAGAGCCAGCGGCAGGATGGCGTGCACCTGTTCGCACACGCGTCCGGCGCTCAGACCGCCCCTCTGCAGCCTCGGCCGCTGCCCACTACCCCACCGCCTGCTCCTGAGCTAGAGGCCGAGTACCAGCGCCAGCTCCTCGCTCGCGACGTGTGGGAGTCTCGTGACGCCGCTGCCTGCCTCGCCCTGACCGACCTTCTTCCGCCGACAGAGGCAGCCCACTTCGCTCAGGTCGAGTCTGCTGCAGATCTGTATAAGGCTATTGTTGCTCGCTACTCTACTCCCTCCTCTGCGTCGCTCAGTCGCCTCCTCGTACCCTTTATTTACCCTGACCTCGCCTCCTTTGAGACTGTCTCAGACCTAGTTACCCACCTTCGCTCCCTTGACGCTCGCTTTCGCGCTGCTTGCACTGAGGACCAGCTTGCCCTTGCCCCGCCCCCTATGTGGCTTACTATTCACTGGCTAGTCACTCGCCTCCCTGACCGCCTAGCCACAGCCCGCGACGCGCTTCTTCTGACGCACCCCACTGAGCTTACCATCGATCTTCTTGAGACTGCTCTCTCGAAGATCGAGAGTAACCTCCTCACCGTTGCCTCTGCCTCTTCCGCGCCTCCTCCTCGTCTTTTTGAGGGGTGCGCGGTACCACAGCTTCCCACCTTCTCTGCCTCCCTTGCCACTCCCACGTCTTCTGCCTCTGAGGAGACGGCGGCTGTTTCTGTCTCTGGCGGACAGAAACGTGGCAAGGCCGGCAAGAAGGGCGGGAAGGGCGGCGGGGGTACTGGAGGTGGTGCGGGTAGTGGCGGTGGCGGTGGAGCAGGTGGTGGGAGTGGTGGTGGGGGTGGCTCGGGACCTGACGGCCCTCCTTTCGACGGTGGAGTTTTCACTGGTGGTGAGGGGTTCCAGCAGCAGCAGCAGCCGACTCCTCAGCAGCTGCCACCGCCTGGACAGCAGCAGCGGCAGGGACAGCAGCAGCAGCAGCGACAGGGCCAGCAGCAGCGCCTACCGCAGCAGCAGCCTCAGCAGTGGGGCCCTCCGCAGCAGTGGGGCCCTCAGCAGCAGTGGAGGTCTGCTGGTCCCCCGAGCACTGGGCGCAGTGGCGCCCCCTCCAGTCGGGGACCTCGCGCGGCCGGCCGCGACGTTGGTCCCTGTGAGTACTGGATCCTTACGGGTCCTCGTAGGGACACGTACTGTGGCCGCCCCGACCACTCTGCTGCACGCTGCTTCAGTCGTCTCGACGACCTCTACCGCTTGCACCACGGCCCCTCCGCTCCCCCGCCGCCACGCTGGGGGACGCTGCTTGCTCGTGGCATTTCTGTTTTTGATATGCCTATGGATGATGCTAGTGTCAAACATATGTTATATTGTTTATATCTAGGCTGTAGTGGGTTAGATACTAGAGGGTATAGGGTTGTTTCTTGTACCTCTCGAACTTCTCCTAGTGCAACTTTTCTCTCGACTCTCACATGGTATAGAGCTTAGGTTCCTACCACGGGCCCACCTTTTCTAGACTTTTTTTTACCTGCCCGAGGCGCGCTTTGCGCCCTGCCCGAAAATTTCGCGGCCTCTTAGAGGCCTGCCCCGTTAAGGAGCGTCGCGGCCCCCTCTAAGGCCCGTTCGCGGCCCCTTAA